GCTTCTATAGTACTATATTTTCAAAACGGGGTATTAATTTCTCCGCTAGCAGGCGTAGGGAAAACGCTACTTCTCGGCACTCCGCTACTCCGCGGGAGCCTTCACTGTCTGCGTGCCATCCAACATGTGCCGTGGGTCGAAACTTTCGGCCCGGGGGTGCCTTCCGTAAGCACTTTTTGAAGCAGACTCTGGCCACCAAAACGCATGCTGTTTTCCGTATAAGCCCTTTTTGAAGCAGACTCTGGCCACCAAAACGCATGCTGCCTTTCGTAAGCACTTTTTGAAGCAGACTCTACCCACCAAAACGCATGCTGTTTTCCGTAAAAGCCCATTTTGAAGCAGACTCTGGCCACCAAAACGCATGCTGCCTTCCGTAAGCACTTTTTGAAGCAGACTCTGGCCACCAAAACGCATGCTGTTTTCCGTATAAGCCCTTTTTGAAGCAGACTCTGGCCACCAAAACGCATGCTGCCTTTCGTAAGCACTTTTTGAAGCAGACTCTACCCACCAAAACGCATGCTGTTTTCCGTAAAAGCCCATTTTGAAGCAGACTCTGGCCACCAAAACGCATGCTGCGCCGGGCCAATAGTTCGACCCACCGACATCTAGAAGTCCTTACACATGTTCCCCGCCCTCCTCCCCATAGACTCCTGACACAAGTGAGCCTGGGGGACTCCTCCGGAGCTTCTATAGTACTATATTTTTAAAACGGGGTATTAATTTCTCCGCTGGCAGGCTTGGGAAAACTCCACTTCTCGGCACTCCGCGACTCCGTGCAAGTCTTCACTTTCTGCCATCCAACATGTGCTGTGGGTCGAAACTTTCGGCCCGGGGGTGCTTTCCGTAAGCACTTTTTGAAGCAGACTCTGGCCACCAAAACGCATGCTGTTTTCCGTCTAAGCCCTTTTTGAAGCAGACTCTGGCCACCAAAACGCATGCTGCCTTTCGTAAGCACTTTTTGAAGCAGACTCTACCCACCAAAACGCATGCTGTTTTCCGTAAAAGCCCATTTTGAAGCAGACTCTGGCCACCAAAACACATGCTGCGCCGGGCCAATAGTTCGACCCACCGACATCTAGAAGTCCTTACACATGTTCCCCGCCCTCCTCCCCATAGACTCCTGACACAAGTGAGCCTGGGGGACTCCTCCGGAGCTTCTATAGTGCTATATTTTTAAAACGGGGTATTAATTTCTCCGCTGGCAGGCGTAGGGAAAACTCCACTTCTCGGCACTCCGCGACTCCGTGCAAGTCTTCACTTTCTGCGTGCCATCCAACATGTGCTGTGGGTCGAAACTTTCGGCCCGGGGGTGCCTTCCGTAAGCTCTTTTTGAAGCAGACTCTGGCCGCCAAAACGCATGCTGTTTTCCGTATAAGCCCTTTTTGAAGCAGACTCTGGCCACCAAAACGCATGCTGCCTTCCGTAAGCACTTTTTGAAGCAGACTCTGGCCGCCAAAACGCATGCTGTTTTCCGTATAAGCCCTTTTTGAAGCAGACTCTGGCCACCAAAACGCATGCTGCGCCGGGCCAATAGTTCGACCCACCGACGTCTAGAAGTCCTTACACCTGTTCCCCGCCCTCCTCCCCATAGACTCCTGACACAAGTGAGCCTGGGGGACTCCTCCGGAGCTTCTATAGTACTATATTTTTAAAACGGGGTATTAATTTCTCCGCTGGCAGGCGTAGGGAAAACTCCACTTCTCGGCACTCCGCGACTCCGTGCAAGTCTTCACTTTCTGCCATCCAACATGTGCTGTGGGTCGAAACTTTCGGCCCGGGGGTGCCTTCCGTAAGCACTTTTTGAAGCAGACTCTGGCCACCAAAACGCATGCTGTTTTCCGTATAAGCCCTTTTTGAAGCAGACTCTGGCCACCAAAACGCATGCTGCCTTTCGTAAGCACTTTTTGAAGCAGACTCTACCCACCAAAACGCATGCTGTTGTCCGTAAAATCCCATTTTGAAGCAGACCTTGCACCAACACGCATGCTGCGCCGGGCAATAGTTCGACCCCCACCGTACATCTAGAGTCCTTACACATGTTTCCCCCCCTCCCTCCTCCCCTCGAAAAAGGGACTCCTGACCAAGTGAGGCCTGGGGGCTCCCTCCGAGCTTCTATAGTATATATTTGTTAAACGGGTATTAATTTCTCCGCTGGCAGGCGTCGGAAAAACTCACTTCCGGCACTGTGGTCTGCCGCACTCCGTGCAAGTCTTCACTTTCTGCCCATCCAACATGGCTGTGGGTCGAACTTTCCGCCCGTGGGTGCCTTCCGTAAGCCCTTTTGAAGCAGGGGACTCATGGCCCACCAAAAACCATGCTTTTTTTTCCGTTAATAAGAAGCCCTTTTTGAAGCAGACTCTGTCTGGCCACCAAAACGCATGCTGCCTTTCGTAAGCACTTTTTGAAGCAGACTCTACCCACCAAAACGCATGCTGTTTTCCGTAAAAGCCCATTTTGAAGCAGACTCTGGCCACCAAAACGCATGCTGCCTTCCGTAAGCACTTTTTGAAGCAGACTCTGGCCACCAAAACGCATGCTGTTTTCCGTATAAGCCCTTTTTGAAGCAGACTCTGGCCACCAAAACGCATGCTGCCTTTCGTAAGCACTTTTTGAAGCAGACTCTACCCACCAAAACGCATGCTGTTTTCCGTAAAAGCCCTTTTTGAAGCAGACTCTGGCCACCAAAACGCATGCTGCGCCGGCCATAGTTTTCGACCCCACCGACCATTAAGGAGAGGAGTCCTTACCATGTTCCCCCCCCCGCCTCCTTCCCCATTAGACTCCCTGACACAAGTGAGCCTGGTGGACTCCTCCGGCGCTTCTATAGTAACTATATTTTTTTAAAAACGGGGTATTAATTTCTTTCTCCGCTGCACACAGCACGCAAGGCCGTAGGGAAAACTCCACTTCTCGGCACTCCGCGACTCCGTGCAAGTCTTCACTTTCTGCGTGCCATCCAACATGTGCTGTGGGTCGAAACTTTCGGCCCGGGGGTGCCTTCCGTAAGCTCTTTTTGAAGCAGACTCTGGCCGCCAAAACGCATGCTGTTTTCCGTATAAGCCCTTTTTGAAGCAGACTCTGGCCACCAAAACGCATGCTGCCTTCCGTAAGCACTTTTTGAAGCAGACTCTGGCCGCCAAAACGCATGCTGTTTTCCGTATAAGCCCTTTTTGAAGCAGACTCTGGCCACCAAAACGCATGCTGCGCCGGGCCAATAGTTCGACCCACCGACGTCTAGAAGTCCTTACACCTGTTCCCCGCCCTCCTCCCCATAGACTCCTGACACAAGTGAGCCTGGGGGACTCCTCCGGAGCTTCTATAGTACTATATTTTTAAAACGGGGTATTAATTTCTCCGCTGGCAGGCGTAGGGAAAACTCCACTTCTCGGCACTCCGCGACTCCGTGCAAGTCTTCACTTTCTGCCATCCAACATGTGCTGTGGGTCGAAACTTTCGGCCCGGGGGTGCCTTCCGTAAGCACTTTTTGAAGCAGACTCTGGCCACCAAAACGCATGCTGTTTTCCGTATAAGCCCTTTTTGAAGCAGACTCTGGCCACCAAAACGCATGCTGCCTTTCGTAAGCACTTTTTGAAGCAGACTCTACCCACCAAAACGCATGCTGTTTTCCGTAAAAGCCCATTTTGAAGCAGACTCTGGCCACCAAAACGCATGCTGCCTTCCGTAAGCACTTTTTGAAGCAGACTCTGGCCACCAAAACGCATGCTGTTTTCCGTATAAGCCCTTTTTGAAGCAGACTCTGGCCACCAAAACGCATGCTGCCTTTCGTAAGCACTTTTTGAAGCAGACTCTACCCACCAAAACGCATGCTGTTTTCCGTAAAAGCCCATTT